GGAGGTGACAGAGGGGACCCAGAGGTGATGGAGAGGCCCCAGAGGTGATGGGGGGACCCAGAAGTGATGAGGGGAACCTGGAGCTGAGGAGGGGACCCAGAGGTGAAGGAGAGGACTCGGAGGTGATGAGGAGACCCAGAAGTGACAGAGGGCACCCAGAGGTGATTGGGGGGGACCCGGAGGTGATGAGGAGAGGACCCAGAGGTGACAGAGAGGATCCAGAGGTGATGGGGGGGACCTGGAGATGATGGGAGGACCCAGAGGTAAATAGGGCACCCAAAGGTGACAGAGGGGACACAGAGGTGAAGGAGAGGACTTGGAGGTGATGAGGGGACCCAGAGGTGATGGGGGGACCTAGAGATGAGGAGGGGACCCAGAGGTGATGGGGGAAATCAAGAGGTGAAGGAGGGGACCCGGAGGTGAAGGAGGGGACCCGGAGGTGACAAAGGGGACCCAGAGGTGATGAGAGGGACCTGGAGGTGGAGGAGGGGACCTGGAGGTGATGGGGGGAACCCAGAGATGATGGGGGGATCCAGAAATGAGGAGGGGACCCAGAGGTGATGGAGGAGATCTGGAGGTGATGGGGGGACCTGGAGGTGAAGGAGGGACCCAGAGGTGAAGGAGGGGACCCGGAGGTGACAGAGGGGACCCAGAGGTGATGGAGAGGACCTGGAGATGATGGAGAGGACCTGGAGATGATGGGGGGGACCTGGAGGTGGAGGAGGGGACCCGGAGGTAGAGGGGACCCAGAGATGAGGAGGGGACCCAGAGGGAAGGAGGGGGCCCAGAGGTGATGGAGGAGACCTGGAGGTGATGGGGGGACCTGGAGGTGATGGGGGGAATCGAGATGAAGGAGGGGACCCAGAGGTGAAGGAGAGGACCTGGAGGTGAGGAGGGACACAGAGGTGAAAGAGGGGACCTGGAGGTGACAGAGGGGACACAGAGGTGAAGGAGAGGACTCAGAGGTGAAAGATGGGACCCAGAGGGGATGAGGGGGACCCGGAGTCAAGTAGGGGACCTGGAGGTGATGGGGGGGACCCAGAGATGAAGAGGGGACCCAGAGGTGATGGAGGGGACCTGGAAGTGACGGGGGGACCCAGAGATGATGGGAGGGGACGCAGAGGTGATGGGGGGAATCAGGAGGTGAAAGAGGGGACCCAGAGGTGATGGGGGGACCAGGAGGTGAAGGAGGGGACACGGAGGTGATGGAGAGACCCAGAGGTGACGGAGGCACCAGGAGGTGACGGGAGGAGCTGGTGCCGCAGTGGGGTGACCCCCCCCAAGTCCCCGGGGAGCCCCCCCTTACCCGTTGAGGCCGTCGGTGCGGACGCAGAGGCTGGCGTTGCGGCTCCAGGCGCAGTAGGGATCCCGGGCCAGGACACAGTCCGTGCACGACTGGTAACGGCCGCAGTCGGCCAGGGGCAACTGGGCCACCTGGAAACGGGAGCCGGCGAAGAGCAGCTTCTGCGAGGGACAGGGGGTGAGGTGACACGGGCTGAGGTGATAAGACACCCCAGGGGGACCCACCCTTCATCCCCATGGACACCCCTCACCTTCCGCCCGGCCAGGACCAGGCTCTCCACGGGTTGTGCTGGTTCAAAAACCTGCAGCTCCTCCACCAGATGGACACGAGAGCCCAGGTTCAAGGCCTTGTGCACCCAACCGTCACCTGGGGGGACACGTGGGGCGGTGAGGGATGTCCCCACACCCGCCGTGTCCCCCCTCAGAGAATCATAGAATCATAAAATCATTCAGGTTGGAAAAGACCCTTGGGATCATCGAGTCCAACCATCAACTCTACAAAGTTCTCCCCTACACCATATCCCCCAACACCACATCTAAACGACTCTTAAACTCATCCAAGGATGGTGACTCAACCCCCTCCCTGGGCAGCCTCTTCCAGTGTCTGACCACTCTTTCTGTGAAGAATTTCTCCCCAATGTCCAGTCTAAACCTGCCCTGTTGCAGCTTGAAGCCACTCCCTCTCATTCTATCACTACCTGTGAGGAGAGACCAGCACCAACCTCTCCACAGTGTCCTTTCTAGTCATAGAGTGATGAGGTCTCCCCTCAGCCTCCTCTTCCTCAAACTAAACAGTCCCAACTCCTTCAGTTGCTCTTCATACGATTTGTTTTCCAGCCCCCTCACCAGTTTCGTTGCCCTCCTCTGCACTCGCTCCAGCACCTCCAGATCTCTCTGGTGTTGAGGTGCCCCAAAACTGGACACAACACTCCAGGTGTGGCCTCACCACTGCTGAGTACAGGGGGACAATCACCTCCCTACTTCTGCTGGCCACGTTATTTCTAATCCAAGCCAGGATGCCCTTGGCTTTCTTGGCCACCTGGGCACACCATTGGCTCATTTTCAGCCACTTTTCAATTAGAACCCCCAAGTCCTTTTCCACCAGGCAGCTCCAGCCACCCTTCTCCAAGCCTGGGGTCGGTGTGGTCCAAGTGCAGGACCTGGCACTTGGTCTTGTTGAAGCTCATCCCATTAACGTTGGCCCAGCCATCCAAGAGCTTCCCCTCAGGCCCCGGCGGGTACCTGTGCCGATGAAGAGCACCTCGTAGATGGTGCCATCCAACCCGGAGACCCTGTCCACCACCAGCTGGGTGAAGTTGGCATCTTTTTTGAGGAGGAGGGGGCGCCCGCGGTGGGGGAGGATGGGCTCATCCATCAACGGGTGCTTCTTGGCGAAGTTGAGGGTGTTGTCGGGCAGCTCCAAGGAGCTGGCGAAGCCGTTCTGGCGGTGCCAGTCGGTGATGCACTGGGGCCAAGAAAGGGACAGGAGGGGACAAGTTAGGGTTGTAAGCCAGATCCACCACCCTTTTGTCCCCCCATCCCACCACCGGGACCGGCACTCACCGCGCCAGGACGGGGGCTGGGCACCTCATCTGAGTAGCGGCCCCATTTCTGCGCCTGCTCCCGATATTCCTTGTAGGGCCCTTCAAAGGCCTTCTTCACCTCCAGGATGTGGTACCGGCAAATGGCCGAGACATCCACGTCCCCCCTGTCAAGGGAGAAGGTTTTAAGGCGTGCCACCGGTGACAAGGAACCCCCCGTGGGGCTGCGATGTCCCCCCACGGACTCACCAACGGGCCTGGAAGACCCCAAAGAAGGTGGTGTCCTGCCAGTCGGCCCCCGGGAGGGTGAAGACGGCCTGGAGACGGTTGAAGTGGAGCTGCTGCTCAGGTGCTGAGCAAACCAAGCGAGCCTTCAGGAAGGTGGTCCACTTCTTCTGCAGCGTGCGGGCACCGCCGACATCCCCCTGGACATCCAGGTGGCATCAATCATAGGATCATGGAATGGTTTGGGGCGGAAGGGAGCTTAAAGCCCACCAAGTCGCTGGGCAGGGACACCTCCCACCAGCCCAGGTTGCTCCAAGCCCCCTCCAACCTGGCCTTGAACCCCTCCAGGGATGGGGCAGCCACAGCTGCTCGGGGCAACCTGGGCCAAGCTCTCACCACCCTCAGGGGGAAGAATTTCCTCCCCACATCTCATCTCCATCTCCTAATTTTTGGTTTAAAACTCTTCCTTCTCCTCCTAGGGCTCCCCTCCCCAAACACCAGCCCTGGAGGGATCTAAAAGCCGGTGCTGAGGGCCGTGGGGCAGTGGTGGGTTGGGCAGGGGTGGGTTGATGGTTGGTCTTGGTGAACTTCAAGGTCCCCTCCAACCCAGGGAAGTGGTGGAATCACCAGGGCATCACAGGATGGTTTGGGTTGGAAGGGGCCTTAAAGATCATCCAGTTTCACCCCTTCTAGTGGCTGGGACATCTTCAAGGAGACCAGGTTGCTCCAAGCCCCCTCCAACCTGACCTTGAACCCCTCCAGGGATGGGGCAGCCACAGCTTCTCCTGGAAACCTGGGCCAGGCTCTCACCACCCTCACACCAAACAAGTTCTTCCCCACATCTCAGCTCCATCTCCCCTCTTTCAGGGTCAAACCCTTCCCCCTCCTCCTAGGGCTCCCCTCCCTCATCCAGAGTCCCTCCCCATCTCTCCTGGAGCCCCTTGAGGGACTGGAAGGGGCTCCAAGGTCTCCCCGGAGCCTTCTCTTCTCCAGGCTGAAACCCCCAACTCTCTCAGCCCCCCCTCCCAGCAGAGGGGCTCCAGCCCTCCCAGAATCTCTGGGGCCTCCTCTGGCCCCACCAACAGCTCCGTGTCCTTCTGCTGTTGGTGGCCCCAGAGCTGGAGGCAGTATGGTGTGGGGTGGTCTCCCCAGAGCGGAGCAGAGGGGCAGAATCCCCCCTCCTCACCCTGCTGGGGCTGTAGCCCAGGCTGTGGGGGGCTTTCTGGGCTGCCAGAGCACGTTGATGGGTCATTGCCAGCTGAGATTTCACTGAATTTCTCTGAATTTTCACTGAATTTTTAGAGTTGGAAGGGACCATAGAGATCATCTAGTCCCACTCCCCTGCTGAAGCAGGATTGCCTAGAGCTTGTCAGAGCATGTTACTCAGGAGCATCCAGGAGGGTCTTGAAAATCTCCAAAGAAGGGGACTCCACACCCTCCCTGGGCAGCCTGTTCCAGGCCTCTGCCACCCTCACCCCAAAGAAGTTCCTCCTCATATTCAAGTGGAACCTCTTCTGTTCCAACTTGTGCCCGTTGCCCCTTGTCCTCTCACTGGGAACCACTGAAAAGAGTCTGGTTCCCTTCTCCTTCAACCCTCCCTTGAGATACTTGTCAGCATTGAGAAGGTCTCCCCTCAGCCTTCTCTTCTCCAGCCTAAAGAGCCCCAGCTCTCTCAGTCTCTCCTCATAAGGGAGATGCTCCAATCCTTGAATCCATCCTTTAGATGTCATCTAAATCCCTCCTCTTTTGGTTTAAAACCCTTCCCCCTCATCCTATCGACTCCTTGACGTGGAGTCCCTCCCCATCTCTCCAAGACAAGGCCACCAGCGAGAAGCTACGGGGTGGGGAGGACACGATGGTGTCCCCATCCATGGGTTGCCCCATCTTCTCCCCGTTACCTTGCAGACACGGGCCACCCGGGCCACCACTTGCTCGGCGTAGCAGTCGTACTCCACCGCCCGCTCGCTGAAGAAGAAGTAAACCTTGTCATCATCCCCCGTGCTGCTGGCCGCGCTCTCCTGCACGTACGCCGAAGCCACGAAGTGGGGCTCTGCGGAAGATTTTGGGGGGGATGAGGAAAGGGGGGGAGAAGGAGGGTAACGCCGTGGCGGGGTGTGGGTGTCCCCCATCCTGTCCCCTCTGCTCTTACCGTTGAGCCAGGAGGTGAGATATTCCGTCTTCATGGAGTAGTGGGGGCCCAGGTTGCGGAGGATGACGGGCTCCGTGCCCAAGAAGTTGTTGAAGGTGGCCGAGTAGAGCTCCCCGTCTGCAGGAGAAGAAGGGTTTAGGGAGGGGGGACAACCCTGCAAGGGACACTCCCTCCCACCCCAGCGGGGGTCTTGGCAGTGCCACCTACCCACGATGAGGCCGGTGTGGCCCTTGGTGGGGTCGTACGGACACTTCCCCTTCCCGTCCTCGAAAGCCACTTGGTCCAGGGTGAAGCCGGACAATTCCTGAGGGGAAAGAGTGTGGGTGGGGGTCCCGACCCCCTCCCCTGTTCATGTCCCCCCCATGTCCAAACCATCCCCGGGGACGGGGACACCACCCAGACAACCCTCCTGGGGACAGGGACAGCCCTGGATGACGCTTCTGGAGACAGGGAGAGCCTCAGACAACCCTCCTGGGGACAGGAACAGCCTCCAGATCACCCTTCTGGGACAGGGACAGGACTTTATAACTCACTATAGGGACAGGGACAGCCTCAGACAACCCTCCTGGGGACAGTGACAGCCTCAGAGAACACTCCTGATGACAGGGACAGCCTCAGACGACCATCCTGGGGACATTGACAGCCTCAGAGAACCCTCCTGGGAACAGGGACACCCTCCAGGTGACCCTTCTGGGACAGGGACAGCCCTGGATGACGCTTCTGGGGACAGGGAGAGCCTCAGACAACCCTCCTGGGGACAGGAACAGCCCCAGAGAACACTCCTGGGGACAGGGACACCCTCCAGGTGACCCTTCTGGGACAGGGACAGGACTTTATAACTCACTATAGGGACAGGGACAGCCCTGGATGATGCTCCTGGGGACAGGGACAGCCTCAGACAACCCTCCTGGGGACAGTGACAGCCCCAGAGAACCCTCCTGGGGACAGGGACAGCCTCCAGGTGACCCTTCTGCGACAGGGACAGCCCTGGATGACGCTCCTGGGGAGAGGAACAGCCCCAGAGAACACTCCTGGGGACAGGAACAGCCCCAGAGAAGACTCCTGGGGACAGCAACAGCCTCAGACAACCCTTCTGGGGACAGTGACAACCCCAGAGAACCCTCCTGGGGACAGGAACACCCTCCAGGTGACCGTTCTGGGACAGGGACAACCCTGGATGACGCTCCTGGGGACAGGGACAGCCTCAGAGAACCCTCCTGGGGACAGGGAGAGCCTCAGACAACCCTCCTGGGGACAGGGAGAGCCTCAGACAACCCTCCTGGGGACAGGGAGAGCCTCAGACAACCCTCCTGGGGACAGGGAGAGCCTCAGACAACCCTCCTGGGGACAGGGAGAGCCTCAGACAACCCTCCTGGGGACAGGGAGAGCCTCAGACAACCCTCCTGGGGACAGGGAGAGCCTCAGACAACCCTCCTGGGGACAGGGAGAGCCTCAGACAACCCTCCTGGGGACAGGGAGAGCCTCAGACAACCCTCCTGGGGACAGGGAGAGCCTCAGACAACCCTCCTGGGGACAGGGAGAGCCTCAGACAACCCTCCTGGGGACAGGGAGAGCCTCAGACAACCCTCCTGGGGACAGGAACACCCTCCAGGTGACCGTTCTGGGACAGGGACAGCCCTGGATGATGCTCCTGGGGGCAGGGACACCCTCAGACAACCCTCTTGGGGACAGGGACACTCTCCAGGTGACCCTTCTGGGACAGGGACAGCCCTGGATGATGCTCCTGGGGACAGGGACACCCCTAGATGATGCTCCTGGGGACAGGGACACCCTCAGACAACCTTCCTGGGGACAGGGACACCCCTAAATGATGTTTCTGGGGACAGGGACACCCCCCCAGACAACCCTCCTGGGGACAGGGACGCCCTAAATGATGCTCCCAAGGAGGAGGACACCCCTGGACAGTCCTCCTGGGGACAGGGACACCCCTAGATGATGTTCCTGGGGACAGGGACACCCCCCCAGACAACCCTCCTGGGGACAGGGACGCCCTAAATGATGCTCCCAAGGAGGAGGACACCCCTGGACAGTCCTCCTGGGGACAGGGACACCCCTAAATGATGCTCCCGGGGACAGGGACACCCCTGCCTGACACCCCTGTGGACAGGGACACCTTCCAGATGACCCTTCTGTGACAAGGACAGGGACACCCCCAAATGACACCCCCAGGAACAGGGACACCCCCATAAAACCCTCCTGGGTACAGGGACACCCTTGAATGACACCCTTAGGGACAGGGACACCCCCAAAAAACCCTCCTGGGCACAGGGACACCCCTGAATGACACCCTTAGGGACAGGGACAGCCCTACATGATACTCCTGAGGCTGGAGGGGGGGCTGCCCTGCATCGAATTCCTAGGGCTAGAGGGGGGAAAATGAGGAGGGGGGGATGATGTGTTTTGGGGACCCCCCCGGGGGGCGACACTCACGATGTAGGTGCACTTGGGCTGGAAGGCGTAGGTGCCGCAGGCGTAGAGGTGGGAGCTGTTGTAGCTCTGCAGGAACCTCACGTAGTTGAAGCAGTCGGTCTGGTGGGGAAGGGGGGGGTCAAAATAGGGGTGACAGGGTAGGGGGGGACAAATAGACACCCCCCGGGGTGCCCTACAACCCCCCCCC